GTGAATTATCCGGCAAACAAACTAGCTTGTTATGTGTCGGACGATGGATGTTCACCCCTCACTTACTTCTCTCTCAAGGAAGCTTCTAAGTTTGCCAAGATTTGGGTTCCTTTCTGCAAGAAATACAACGTTAGAGTTAGAGCTCCTTTTATGTACTTCAGAAACTCTCCGGCCGCAACAGAAGGTTCTGAATTCAGTAAAGACTGGGAAATGACGAAGGTACTTAAAGGGTTTGCTTGTCTTTTATAAATTCTTCAAAGAATGTTCATAAAATTTTGAATATTGTTGTGATTGATAGAAATATAAACAAGTTACTAATTAGCACAATAACATTTTTAGTTTTAAAACAACTGAGATAAAAAAAAAACAAGATTCAGTCTTTGCTTTTCGTAATAATTATTGGGAATTTTCTTGAAATTGTGTTTTTTTTTTTATTAATATAAAGAGGGAGTACGAGAAGTTAAGCCAGAAAGTAGAAGATGCCACCGGAAGTTCCCACTGGTTGGATGCCGAAGTTGACTTTGAAGTTTTCTCAAACACAAAACCAAATGGTCATCCAACTATAATTAAGGTATTTCTACAGTTTTCCAGAGTAAAAACAAATAATCACCACAAAAAAAGAGAGTTAATTATAAGTTTATAACAATGACATGAAATCTTGTTTTATGTGTTTATGTGAAGGTGGTATGGGAAAACAAGGGAGGTGTGGGGGACGAGAAAGAGGTCCCTCATGTTGTATACATTTCAAGAGAAAAAAGACCAAATTACTTTCATCAGTACAAAGCTGGAGCCATGAACTTTCTGGTTAGTAAATTTTCTCACACATCTATCTTTTTTTTTTTTTTTTGAAGTTTCAAGTAAGGTACATTAGCATTATGAGCTTGGACATATAGAGGGGCATAATGCCATAATGCATGTAAACGTCTTTTCAAGGAAGATCAAACAGTAAAGGAGAAAATGATATCTACTTCCATATTGCTAAATTTCACTCATTTGATTGATAGTGCGATATGCACCATATGTTCGTGTAACATGTGGCTGCAAGACTACAATCACTTTTTACGTTTTATTTGCATGTGAGATGTGACAATCCTTCACATTCACTCAAGTGATAAGGTAACCAAGAATTTGTGGGCCTAGGCCCATATTCTATTCGGATCAGAATATGTTAAAAGTAGTTTATCCGTCATTGGTGCTCAAACTCCTCTTTAGGTGGCTCACTAGTTCACTGGTTGAGCTATCGAAGCATGGTCATGTGTTTAATAAAAATGCATGTAAAACTATAAACAATCATGGTGCCTTTGAAATTGATATTTTATAATGAGCCAACATATACTAATTTAGCCTAAGGCATCATATATGGTAAAGCCATATTGAACAACTATATATCAATGATTATATATCTTAGTTTATTTGTTTTGCTATAGTAATTTAAAATGTGATGACGGAGCCAGATATGAATTTGAACAGGTAAGAGTGTCAGGGTTGATGACAAATGCACCATACATGTTGAACGTAGACTGCGACATGTATGCCAATGAAGCAGATGTGGTGCGACAAGCAATGTGTATATTTCTGCAAAAATCAATAAATTTAAAGCATTGTGCTTTTGTTCAATACCCTCAAGATTTCTATGATTCCAACGCCGACGAACTCACCGTCTTACAATCAGTAAGATTTATGTTCTTTACTTTTTCTTTTGGTGTATTTCTAATGTTAATAGAATAAATTTCATTAAGCTCGATGATTTATTTTTGTGATATCAATCCGTACTTAATCTTAGTTCCTTTTTATTTCTTCGAAAATTAATTAGTACTTAGGACGAGGAATTGCGGGAATCCAAGGACCGCAGTATGCGGGTTCAGGATGCTTCCATACTAGAAGAGTTATGTACGGTCTTTCTCTAGACGATTTAGAAGACGATGGAAGTCTTTCTTCAGTTGCTACAAGTAAGTACAACCAACAAAGTCAAAATTATATGTAAATATTAAAACCAATCTTTTAGCATGCAAAATTCGGATGTTTTCATTAATTTTTCTAACATTTTGATCTAAAATTTTTGTTATTCCATCGTTCTACTATTCAAATGTCAAATCATTCACGGTTCTCGTTGTAATTTCATTAAGGGAAGTATTTAGCTGAGGAGAGTCTAACGAGAGAATTTGGGAATTCTAAGGAGATGGTGAAATCGGTGGTCGATGCGATACAAAGAAAATCATTTCCTCAAAACACCCTTAAGGACTCTCTTGAAACGGCTCAAGAAGTGGGACATTGTCACTACGAGTACCAAACCAGCTGGGGAAAAACCGTAATTATTCTCTTCTCAATTGAATCACTATAGTATTTTAGACACTAATAATGTGTTTTCTTATATATAAATTGTGTAGATCGGTTGGTTATACGATTCAACTGCGGAAGATGTGAACACGAGTATCGGAATCCATTCGAGAGGGTGGACTAGCTCATATATTTTTCCGGATCCACCGGCGTTTCTTGGGTGCATGCCGCAAGGAGGACCAGAGGCAATGCTTCAGCAGCGACGATGGGCCACGGGAATGCTTGAAGTCCTTTTCAACAAACAAAGTCCGTTGATCGGAATGTTTCGCCGGAAAATAAGAGTCCGACAAAGCTTGGCTTATATTTACGTTTTCAGTTGGGGTCTAAGATCAATCCCTGAGCTTATTTATTGTCTCCTTCCTGCTTATTGCGTACTCCACAACTCTACCTTATTTCCCAAGGTGACCCTCTCTCTCCTTTGTCATGATACGAAGACAACACTAACAAGAACCACTAGATTATATGTCTCGGTCTCTCTTTAATTATATCATACCTTATTAATATTGCCCTACTTATATATGTTATATACAGAATTAATTTAGGGGGAAAAGTCTAATGCTTTTTTCTTTTCTTTTTGTGGCTCTAGGGAGTTTACTTAGGTATAATCGTCACGCTTGTGGGGATGCATTGTCTTTACACTCTATGGGAATTTATGAGCCTTGGTTTTTCCGTACAATCGTGGTTTGTTTCCCAGTCATTTTGGAGGATCAAAACCACTTGCAGTTGGTTATTTAGCATCCATGATATCATACTCAAGCTTCTTGGAATCTCGAAAACTGTCTTCATAGTCACTAAAAAGACTATGCCCAAGACCATGTCAGGGTCTGGATCCGGAAAGGCTCAACGAGAAGATGATTGTCCAAACCAAGATTCCGGTAAATTTGAATTTGATGGCTCACTTTACTTCTTGCCTGGCACATTTATCGTGTTAGTAAATCTAGCCGCTCTAGCCGGTTGTTCGGTGGATCTAAAACGGTTGAGTCGTCGTCACGGAGAAGGTGATTCGGGTTTGGCAGAGGCTTGTGGATGTATTTTGGTGGTTATATTGTTCCTTCCATTTCTTAAGGGTATGTTTGGGAAGGGAAAATATGGTATCCCGTTGTCTACTATTTCTAAAGCTGCCTTTTTAGCAGTTTTATTTGTCGTCTTCGCTCTATAGATCCTTGATTCCTTCGTTTTCAACTAAAATTGTTTTGCGTCTTGCGGTGAAACGAACAATTTAGAGTCAACCCAAACGAGACTTAAAAAGACGTCGTAACTATGAGGGTGAACCTGGACTCAGTATGAATTTATTGTTCAGAAGTATTTCTTATTTATTGATTGGTACAAAATATAAAATTTAAGACGATAACTACGTAAATAGTAGCCGTATATTCTGCACTAGTGAGTAATAGTCGTATTTCCAAAAAGCCTGCATCGCCTCTTCTACGGCTTTGTCTCTTTTCTCCCAATTCTTAGCTTATATCGATATAAGACATTATTATCTTCGTGGGTCTTGTAACCATGACAGGACCAGCTTAATTTTGTTTTTGTGATCGATTCGTGGTTTTTCGATTTGATGAAAATGACTCAATGATTTCGTCCTTTCTATATATGTTTGGGGTTTTGAAGTCAACTGTGTATGTGGACGTTAATTTTTTGAAAATTAATGAGATAAATAAGGCTTACGAAGCCAACATCTAGATAAGTGATATAGGAACAAAAATCAATCACAAAATACCTACCAAGTAATTGGTCATATCCTCATATGTAAACTTAAATTTAAAAGCAATTCTCAAATAATAAATTCTCGTTCCGGGTCAAGGTATAGTGCATGCATCAAAGGGTATAGCCACAACCCAATCAGGATAATTTAGAGTTCATCTCGTTTCTTTCATATTCCTAAAGTGGCGATGCAATGAAATAATGACAATTTATTGATTTTCTTATTTATAAAATTTTCAAACACACAATTTGTATAACAATTAATGATAATGAAACGTTACGTGCCTTTAATTTTTGTGTGACGACTACTCATCATTCACCACAAAGAGCAAACGGGGTAAAAAGACAAAACTTTATCGTTATCCTAATTTGAATCAGACCACACAAAAAATAAACCCACCACAATTTGACAAAGATACGTATATTATGCACAATCGTTTATATGTACTGACGTGTTATATAAAAGAAAGGGGATTGATTGTTTTGAAAAGAAACGACTTCGATATGAGTAGTTAATTCGTTGAAAAAGTTGCTTCGGGTCTAGTTTTTCTAACTTTTTGATATGATATATAAAAATATGTTAGCTTTCACTTGATGGTAACTTAAAGATAAGTCTCTAGTGGCATGTATGGCATCACTAGTTAAATTCCAGTTTACGTGAAGTTCATGAATTTTATTGGTCATGTCAATATATACAATACATATACGTTTTATACGTATTTATATTTATAAACTATTTTTAAAATTCATGCATGTATCTACTATCTAGATGACAAACTAGTCCAATAACATTTGACTATGACCTCTTTGTTCTTTTTTGTTAATAGTTTTCACAACAAAGAAAATCTACTCCATTTTATTTCTTCTCACCAATCTACATAAGTGTAAATGTATATTTGTCAGAACACTAGTACTCTACACATTATATATAATTTTACTTAAGTCCTTAGAAACATATCCAAAAACCTCAAGAAATCTTCTTCCATGGCGGATTCAAGCTCTCCTCTCCCTCCTCTTTGTGAAAGGATCTCACACAAAAGCTATTTATTAAGAGCTGTGGATCTCACTATTCTAGGCCTTCTAGTTTCTCTTCTATTGTACCGAATCCTACATGTGAACCAAAACGACACCGTTTGGGTCGTGGCTTTCCTCTGTGAATCTTGTTTCTCCTTCGTATGGTTGCTTATTACCTGCATAAAATGGAGTCCTGCTGATTATAAAACATATCCTGATAGACTTGATGAAAGGTACGTACCGTTTCCACATATATATATACACAATTATACACACTAAAATAAATATTCTTATTAAATTTGTATCAAGTCCTATAATATCATTCATTTAGTATAGTAGCAAACATTTGAAAGTTAAAATTTTTGAAATGGCCTAGCAACTTTTTATTTTTAGGGTTCATGACCTTCCATCGGTAGATATGTTCGTGACCACAGCGGATCCAGTTAGGGAGCCGCCGATTATCGTTGTAAACACTGTGCTTTCACTGTTAGCTGTGAATTATCCGGCAAACAAACTAGCTTGTTATGTGTCGGACGATGGATGTTCACCCCTCACTTACTTCTCTCTCAAGGAAGCTTCTAAGTTTGCCAAGATTTGGGTTCCTTTCTGCAAGAAATACAACGTTAGAGTTAGAGCTCCTTTTATGTACTTCTTGAACCCTCCGGCCGCAACAGAAGGTTCTGAATTCGGTAAAGACTGGGAAATGATGAAGGTATAATTGTCTTTTATAAGTTCTTCAAAGAATGTTTATAAACTTTTGAAAATTGTTGTGATTGATAGAAATATAAACAAGTTTTTCACCCAATTAACACAATCACATTTTTGGTTTTAAAACAACGGAGACAAAAATCAAGATTTATTCATTGCTTTTCGTAATAGTTATTGGGAATTTTCTTTAATTTGTGTGTATTAATATACAGAGGGAGTACGAGAAGCTAAGCAAGAAATTAGAAGATGCCACCGGAAGCTCCCATTGGTTGGATGCAGAAGATGACTTTGAAGCTTTCTCAAACACAAAACCAAATGATCATTCAATTATTGTTAAGGTATTTCTACAATTTTCCAGATTAAAAAAATATAATCTCTAACTATAGATAGTTGCGCAAACAAAAGGGTTAACCCTATTGCTATATAACAGTTACATGAAATCTTGTTTTATATGTTTATGTGAAGGTGGTATGGGAAAACAAGGGAGGTGTGGGAGACGAGAAAGAGGTCCCTCATGTTGTATACATTTCAAGAGAAAAAAGACCAAATTACTTTCATCATTACAAAGCTGGAGCCATGAACTTTCTGGTAAGTAAATTTTCTCACACATCTATTTTTTTTTTGTTTTTTGAAGTTTCAAATAAGGTACATAAGAAATTATGAGGTTGGACATATAGAGAGGTGCATAATGCCATAGTGCATGTATACGTCTTTTCAAGGAAGGTAAAACAGTAAAGGAGAAAATGACGTCTACTTTCTTATTGCTAAATTTCACTCATTTGATTGATAGGCCCAAACATATTTAGTGCGATTTTTTTTTCTTGTGCAAATCCATATATTGTGCTACATGTAATGTACCATATGTACCGTAATACTGTATATGGTTGCAAGACCACACTTACTTTTGACGTTTTATTTGCATGTGACATCCTCCACATTCACTGTTGAAGTGACAAGGTAACCAAGGATTTGTGGGCCTAGGCCCATACTCTTGTCAGAACATAGTATTTTATTTGTCATTGGTGCTCAAACTCCTCTTTGGGTGGCTCACTAGTACACCGGTTGAGCTATCGAAGCCGAATGTAACCATGCATGGCTATGTAAAACTAGAAACGTGCCTTTGCAATTGATATTTTATAATGTGCCACATATCTTACGATTAGCCTAATGCACCATATCGAACAACTAGCAATGCTATATATATCTTAGTTTTTTTTTTTTTTTTTAATTAGTAATTTAAACTGTGATGATAGAGCGTGAGATGAATTTGAACAGGTAAGAGTGTCAGGGTTGATGACAAATGCACCATACATGTTGAACGTAGACTGCGACATGTATGCCAATGAAGCAGATGTGGTGCGACAAGCAATGTGTATATTTCTGCAAAAATCAGTGAATTCAAACCATTGTGCTTTTGTTCAATACCCTCAAGATTTCTATGATTCTAACGCCGATGAACTCACCGTCTTACAATTAGTAAGATTTATGTTCTTTACTTTTTCTTTGGTTTATTTCTAATGTTGATATATTAATTTCATTCAGCTCGATTTTTTTGTTGTTGTATCAGTCCGTACTTAATCTTAGTTCCCTTTATATGTTGGAAAATTAATTAGTACTTGGGACGAGGAATTGCGGGAATCCAAGGACCGTTGTATGGGGGCTCAGGATGCTTCCATACTAGAAGAGTTATGTACGGTCTTTCTCTAGAGGATTTAGAAGACGATGGAAGTCTTTCCTCAATTGCTACTAGTAAGTACCACTGACAAAGACAAAATTATATGTATATATTAAAACCAATCATTTTTTTTTGTCAATTAAAACCAATCTTCAAGCATGTACAATTATGATGTTATCATTAATTATTCTAACATTTTGATCTAACATACAATATATATCATATTTGTTATTAATCCATCGTTCTACTATACATATTCAGTTATTTTACTATTCATATGTCAAGTCATTCACAACTCTCGTTGTAATTTCATTAAGGGAAGTATTTGGCTGAGGAGAGTCTAGCGAGAGAATTTGGCAAATCTAAGGAGATGGTGAAATCAGTGGTCGATGCGTTACAAAGAAAATCATATCTTCATAACATCCTTAAAGACTCTCTAGAAGCGGCTCAAGAAGTGGGACATTGCCACTACGAGTACCAAACCAGCTGGGGCAACACCGTAATTAACTCCCTTTTCAATTTAACCACATTAGTATTTTAGACAATAATAATGTGTTTCTTCTATATAAATCGTGTAGATTGGTTGGTTATACGATTCAACAGCGGAAGATGTGAACACGAGTATCGGAATCCATTCGAGGGGGTGGACTAGCTCATATATTATTCCGGATCCACCGGCGTTTCTAGGGTGTATGCCACAAGGAGGACCGCATGCAATGGTTCAACAGCGACGATGGGCGACCGGACTGCTTGAAGTCCTTTTCAACAAACAAAGTCCGTTGATTGGGATGTTTCGCCGGAAAATAAGATTCCGACAAAGCTTGGCTTATCTTTACGTTTTCAGTTGGGGTCTAAGGTCGATACCGGAGCTCTTCTATTGTCTCTTGCCTGCTTATTGCCTACTCCACAACGCTGCCTTATTTCCCAAGGTAACTCTAGCATAACCACTAAACTATATTTCTCGGCCACTCTTAATTTGTATAATTTCCTCATTAATATAGTTCTATTTATTTCATATAATTTGATTGAGATGGAAATGTTTAATATTTTCTTTTATTTGTGGCTCTAGGGAGCTTATTTGGGTATAATCGTCACGCTTGTGGGGATGCATTGTCTTTACACTCTATGGGAATTTATGAGCCTTGGTTTTTCCGTACAATCGTGGTATGCTTCCCAATCATTTGGGAGGATAAAAACCACTTGTAGTTGGTTATTTAGCATCCTTGATATCATACTCAAGCTTCTTGGAATCTCGAAAACCGTCTTCATAGTCACTAAAAAGACTATGCCTGAGACCAAGTCAGGGTCTGGATCCGAAAAATCTCAAGGAGAAGTTGATTGTCCAAACATAGATTCCGGTAAATTTGAATTTGATGGTTCGCTTTATTTTTTGCCTGGCACATTTATTGTGTTGGTAAATCTAGCCGCTCTAGCCGGTTGTTCGGTGGGTCTACAACGGTTGAGTCCTCGTCACGGGGGAGGTGGTTCTGGTTTGGCAGAGGCTTGTGGATGTGTCTTGGTGGTTATACTGTTCCTTCCATTTCTAAAGGGTATGTTTGAGAAGGGAAAATATGGTATCCCATTGTCTACTCTTTCTAAAGCTGCATTTTTAGCAATGTTATTTGTTGTTTTCTTTATGGGAAACTAGTAGTGCACTAGTGTGATATGGGTTTGTTATGCACCTATCGTTAAGTGTATCATGACATTGTCTCAATTGATAATGCTATTTATGCAATTAGTTTTATAATATTGATTGTCAAACTAACTAATGTGAAACCATTCAAAGCGTTTAATTACAAATGAACGTTATTCTGACAAACATCAATATGTAGAATGGCAAACTCGTTTTGTATGTGGAATATCAACACTATGAACGAAGATGAAAATAATTAATGTTTTCTTTGATATTTTTCTTTTGTTAATTAGAAACAATTTAATCAATTGAACATATGAAATACATATAAAGTTTAGTAAACCAACCACATATATAATTAGATCATTCCAGTGCTAAGCATTTTAGCCATGCCATTGATTCGATAAATCTTTCTCTCGTAAAATCTGTTTTTAAATATGGATTATCTACTATGGAAGATCCTTGAAAGAGAAGAAAATGAGGTACTCATCTGAATTTTCTCTTGGCCACTTTTGTATATTTGGCAGGCCGAAAATGAAAAACATTTTCTAATGTTATTGAGTGATCCCCTCAAAAATCCATGTAGTGGTATCCTATGTATAACAACGTTACTAGAATGAATATTATAAATTTATGTTAACCATCTTTACAAATTATTATTTTTGTTTCTAAACTTATTCTTAATAATATTGAATTTTTATTTATCAACTAACCAAAATTGTATATCAAACATATGTATAAGGTAATAAGTTTATTTTTTTTGATCAACTTGATAATTATTTCTCTTTTCTTAGTATATATAAAAGAAAAATATTTTTCTAGAATATCTAATAGTTAATACCTTTGTAACTTTAATAATTATATGAAATTAACATATTAAAAATAAATTTCTAACAATATGTATACACCAATATTTTTGTCAACAAATTTATGGATTTTACTAGTTAGTACTTTAATTTATCAAAATATATTATCGCATTTGTTTTAATATAATACTATAATTTTGTTTTATAATACAACAATAAATATTTGTCGTCCTAAATTAAATATACTAATAATAGTAAATATTGTTCACTCATAATTACATAGAAAACCACAATATTACCTGGTCGAGTCACGAGTATCATAATTGTAGATTGAGAAATTTTAGCTCACTGTAATATTCTCAATTAACCTCCCTACACTTGTCTGTGGATAAGATAAATAACTTAAAGTTGAAAGAAAAAAAATAGGTAAATAACTTAACACAGATTAAGCTTTATTTTTTCTCTGGTCAGAATACAGATTTAGATTTCTTATAAAAAATAATATTTAATCCAAATCCAACAAAAAAATTAAACAAAAATTTTCTTTCCATGTAGACTTTCCTTGGAAGTATTATTACTTTTTTCACATTGACAATTAATATTAGCTTTTCTTTTTATTTAACTTAACAAATTAAGTCCACAGAGGGTATTTTTGTCTATTCATATTTTTAAAGCCATGCGTGCATTGCCTTAGTCTATATAAGTTCACCTCCCACTCATCGACTGCCACAACACTCGTAGAGAAGCTCAAGAAATTCTCACAGAGAAAATTCCAAAAAAAAAATAAAAAATAAAGAATCAGCGACGGAGATTTTCTCCGGCCAATCCATGTCGGAAAATGTGGTGAATCTACCGGATTCTTTGTATGAGGACTATAGTAAACTCAAGTTGACTTCGTCCCCGCCCTACGCTTCGTCATCCTCAGCTCCTCCGCCGGGGCTGAACGTCGTAGCTCAGCCGACCGTAGAGATGATTCTCCAGTGGGTCTATGATCTTCATAAACCAAACTTACCCAAGTTTGATTTCGCGCTGCATAATCTCGCCTATGTAAGTGCACATACTCTTCGATTCTCTCTATGTTTGATATTATTTTTAGTTTGATCTGTTGTCTCTCTGTTTTGATGCAACATGCTTTTGATCCTTGAGATCCGATGAAGTGATTAGTTTCTGAGAAAGAAGTGTTTTTTTTTTTTCCGATTATGGGAAATTCTTGAGATCTCCGTTTGTTTCTTGCTGCATAGGTTAACGATTTTATCCCTATAGATCTTAAGGGTATGATTGAGAATATGATATCATCACAATTTTAGACTCTCCTTTTCGCCGTCAAATGATAGATTTTGTTGTATCTAAATCTTAGATCTGGTTGCTTGACATGGAATGTTCTTGTTTGTGAGTCACTTTGGCTTTCCTTTGTGGATAATCATAATCTTGGAGCCTATAAGAAACAATCAATTGTCATTCTCTCTTTTGTTTGTATCCGTTTGTCGATTTATCGTTGGATCGGCAATTGTTATTCCTCTTTTGCTTGTGTCCATTCGATGATTAAAGGCGTTACATCGTTGGATAGGCTTTCGCCATTTCCTTAGGTTCAGGAGATCTCGCTGTTTTCTAATCATAAGAAATATTCAATTGTTATTCCTCTATTGTTTCTCTGCATTTGTTGATTATCGCCATTATATCGTTAGGTCGGTTTTCGTGATTTTAGGTTTAGGAGATCTCGCAATTTGTCTCATCATATATATGAACTATTCAATTGTTATTCCTCTTTTGTTTGTATCCGTTTGACGATTGTCGGTATTATATCGTTTGTCGGCTTTCGCTTTTTTTAGGTTTAGGAGATTTCGCAATCTTTATAATCATCATTTCTCAATTTGCTCTGTTTTTTCATGATGGGCTCTCCCTTTAGGTTATAAATTTTTTAAGCCTAGATCTTGTTCTTCTGCCTATTCTTCGTTTATTTCCATATCGTATCCCGATAGATAAGAAGTGTGTGGCCTAGAATTACAGCGTATCTCGATAGATAACAAAGTGTGTGGTCAAGAATTACAAGCGTATCGCGATAGATGATAATGTGGGTTAGTCAAGGATTACAGTGTCTAGTTATAAATTTTGATTTACTTTTATGGTATTGCCAATTGCTATGCATTTGAAATCCTCTACAATTCAATGCTTTGCAAATTGTTTTCCAAATTCGCGGTAGCTAGAAAGGATAGCTATTCATATTTGTGGCCCAATGCAAGTAAAGAAATTTATCTCGGTACGACTCGCATATATGGAAAACCAAAATTTCATAATTCAGAGAACCAAAATTAATCGGGCGTATTTTGATCTTATCGGTTATCGAGATCTTATCTTTAGTATTTCTTTCGATATGCAACATTTGACTATGCCTTTGTTTATCCATAGGTTGAGAATAAACTCACTCAAACTTTTACTTTTTTTTTTTTTTTTACTACATCTTTGGATCGACAAGGCCCGATCCATAGTCACAAACTTATATATTAGTAGTCAAGGACCACTTTAAAACAATTTTGGAATTTTAACAACTTATATTATCTCTATCTTTTTTTTTTCCAATGGCAGCATAGGGACAATTTTGAGTTCTTGCCGAGTCTGTTATGGGAATCTAAAAATACTGTGTACATCATGTTGCAGGTTAAGTACCGACTACTTTGGTTATTTCTTTTGGCTTTCAAAACAGATTTTCTTTCAAAATCTTGCCATCTTTTGTTGTATAAATTTCTCTCTATTTGTGACACTCACTTTAAATTTCATTCAATCTATGCAGGAGGTTTTTGAAGCCTACAGACACCTCGTAGGACACATCTCACTTCGATTGTTCCCTCATCCATTGAATCCACTTCGAGTGTACAATGTTTTGCTTTTGTTCCAGGTTTTGTTTTGGTCTCACACCTTTCTTTTTTTTCTTAAGTTTAAAAACCATTTCTTTGATAAATGTTTAAGCCTAAACTTTTTCTGTGATGTTATCATCGTTTTTCCTGTTACAGAGCATGGCTTATCACCCAGACACAAGCCGTCGGTTTCTTAGGGGTATGTCTTTCTCCTTTAGTTCAACAAACCATTTTATCTTCACATTAGCTATATCAATGTTATATCATGTTACATTGTCTTTGAAATTTCTTTGCTTATGTTGGTTGGTTTGTTGCAGCTAAGATGCCAAACTATTTCTATCCTTTGATGGACCTTGGTCTCATCGATAAGCGTCATGAATGCTTGAGGCTTGCTGCATTGGGTGTCATTGCTCATATGTTGAAGGCGGTAACATACATATTCTCTTACAACATAATCTGTTTGTGACAAATGCTTTTGAAAACTCCACTAAATTACTTTGAACATCTCACTTCTCTACAGTCTGAAGATGGAGCTGTTAGTCGTTACCTAATGGAAAGTGGTGCTGTAGGTTTTTGCGCTAAACCCGTTGAGTTTGGCTCTGTAGAAACAAAAACTGTAAGTTTCTTTTGCCCGCTTCTTCTACTCATCATGACTATAAATCAGAGAAGAAATTAAAGAAAGCATTTTGAAACTAATACTTCTTGTTCAGGTTGCTGTATACATACTTGACAAGATTATGTCGACTGATGAGGGGCTTCATTACTGCTGCGTCTTGGCTGATCGGTTTTTTCGTGATCGATGAACTCCTTAAGAAGCTGCTCGTCTATCTTTCTTCCATGTACAGACCTTCTTCCTGCTTGTTCAACCTTGTTATCGGTTGCTACGTCAAGCTCTCCCAGAAATCCAGGTTTTCTTGCTACACACCTTGATCTTATTTTGATATTGATACAAAATGGTTAGGCTTTGTAAAAGCAAACAGCAATTTGATTTTCTTGTACATGCATTAGGGCTCGTGACGGAATAAGGCGATACACGCCTTTCTTGCTGTTTGACGGCACCTTTGCAAGATTATATGCTGTAAGATTGAAATCTCTTGTGTTTTTGGAATTAGTATGGTTTTGGTTCATGCAGGGAATAGTAATTAAAGATTAAGTGTGTTGTCTGTTGTTTTTTCGCAGGAGGACCCTGTCGCTGATAACAATCGGATTCAGCTGATTCAGAATCTGGAAAACTAAAGCAATGAAGTACCAGAGACACTGTTTTCAATGAGGAAATGAAAACGAAGCGATACACAACCCCCACAGAGAACAGGTTTACTACGCCTACGCGTAACGCTAAGTAACAATTTACTTAAGACATAAAAACTATGAACTATTTTTATGTTGTTGTTTGGTTTAATATCTTTTGGATGACTCTTATTACTCTCTCAACATTGTTCTCTCTCTTTTGGGATACATTTCAATGCATTTTCTATCTTTTTTCAAGTAGGTTAATTTTTGCTTAATTTGCAACTTGATTGATGATTGATACTGCAAATGAATACTATTACCATGATCTTCATCTGCAGGACACACTAGGAAACATTAAAAAAAAAAAAAAGTTAGGTTTATGTTATATAGTAGAGGTTCCGGAAGTTGTAGTTTTGAGTTCCTCTAAGACTTTTTAGAAAAGAGACATGAATTAGAGTCTAGAGAGGCATCTTTGGTCTCGGTGATATTCCATGGCAGAAGGGTTATAGCCAAACTAAGCAAAATCATTCCACATCCATAGAAATCTTCTCAGATGTTTTTGTTTTCTATTAGAATAATCTCCAATCTAATTAACATCCATGGACAAGTTCCATAGTTGCCCACTGTCTTGTTCCGCATTCATATCATAAGTCAAAACGTTTGATCAGTACCATTGCCAAACAAAATTAGCTTGAAACCAATCCCCAACTTTGGACACATAAACATCTGAAGAGTTTATGGTTAGTGAATCACTAAACCATTTAGTCTTAGTGTTCACTGTAATAATAATAGTCCACTCATCACTAAACCATATTAACTCAGATTTACATTTTCTTTATTCTTATGGTTACTTACCCTAAATAGAAACCTGTTTTGTTCTTTGTTTTTCTTGTTCTTTAATGCTAAATTAAATCAAAGTCAAAATTGAACCACCGTCAAAATTCGAGTGCAACAGTCAAATCAGAGTCTCGAACCCATTGGGTTCTTCAATTTTCCACCAAATCCCAACTCGAATTTCAAACCCAGTTCGCCAGATCTCCAATGGCGAAGCACACGGCGGCGTTTAAAGTCCGGCCGGCACCTCACGGAGGCCTTAGCCGTTTCCGCCTCCTCGCAGCCTCTTCTGACCATCCCCAAAGGTAAAATCACAACTGCCCTTGATTGGATCTTGCTTCATCGGCTCTAAAGTTTACTGCTTTCCCCTGAGAAAATGAGCAAAATTGCTACTTTTCTTATTTGGTATTGTTAAACGATTTGGAGTAGTAGTTGGTTTAGTTTCTGGTGATCGAGTTGCTTTAGCTTGATTAGGGAATGAGTTTGAATCTCTTTGCATAAACAAGAATTGTGCCTTTCATGAGATTTTACACTGTTTTTTTACTGTGTTATTGTATCTCCGATTATTTGGTTTTTATAAGTAGGCAATGATCAGTTTTTGGAGATCATAGAGATGTTAAAGTTTGGAATCTACTGTTCCTTGTGTAAAACAAATTTGAGTCTTTGAGGTCTGACTTGTGGTGTGGTTGAGCATCTGGTTTACTTCTTGTGGCTGTCGTGGTGACACCGAATGGCGGTGTATGCTTTGCATTTTATATCCTTAATCCGGTTTATTGGATTCACTCTAATGAATTCATGAAGGTTGATAATGTTGTTTAGGATGATGACTTGTGATCATTGCTTCTTTACCATTTACAAAATTGTTTATTTACTAGTAGGGAATCATCCCCAACTCTTCTTCCTCCTCTTTCCTCTTCCTTATTGGTTGCTTATGTTTATATAATATAGTTTTCTTTTAGTTTTAATATTGTAGGTTCAGTGAACCTTTTGTTCTGTCTTCCCAGATCCAATTCTATCTCCTCCCACTGTTCTTGGAAATCCCAATGCCACCACCACCACCAAGTAGACCTTTTTCTACATATTTCTTGTTTTTATTACTTTTATAAGTAACCCCCTTCAATTTTGGCTTTGTTTCTAAGGCATTTTCTTTCCTGTAATCTGGGTTTTGTGGGTCCAACTCTCTCTCTCTCTTGATTTCAACAACTTGGCAACTTCATTCAATTTCAAGTTCCCAAACAAGAGAGAGAGAGAGAGAAAGAATTCTTTATTGTGTCCATGAGTTGGTTAGGTGATCCTCCAATTCCAATTGGCTATCCATCTATCCTCTTCTTTTATTTATACTCTCAGAAACAACAAATAAAAAAGGCAACACAATAATACTGTCTAAATGCTTCTCTACTTTCTCATCACTTGTCTCTCTTTCTTTTTCTTTACCAAATCTCTATCTCTTCCTCCATGGGCATCTGAAACCAAAACCTTGCTCTCCTTCTACTTCATCAAGAATCCCTTTATGAATACCCTACATCAGACCACACACGATCCAGCCTCTCCGGTGATCGACCAAATGTCGGTTCTTGACCTCCCTGAGCTGGCTCTTGACTGCATTCTCGACCTTCTTCCACCCTCTGGACTCTGCAGCATGGCTAGGGTTTGTAGCTCCTTGAGGGAGAGATGTATGAGTGATCATCTATGGGAGAAACATTTGAAGACCAAATGGGGCAAAATTCTTGGCCCTGCTGCTCACAGAGAGTGGCAATCCTATATCTCCTCTTCCACATATCATCTTGATTCTCCTCATCCAAAAACTGGGAATCTTGGTTTTGCCAAAGTCATCTCTCTGATCCGATCTCTTTCATCCGTTTTTCGAGATGATAAACAAAGGAGTAGATATGCATCTTCTCTGCCACTTGATTCGAGCATGAGCTGCTACCTCTCCCTTGAAACAGGTCGTTTTTGGTTCCCAGCTCAAGTTTACAACCGTGAGGTAATCATTTCATAAACACAGTTGCTCCATTTTTTTATGTTTGATGGGTTTGATTAAAGTACTGAGAGCCTTTTTTTGGTGTAAGAGCAGAATGGGCATGTAGGGTTCATGTTGTCATGCTATGATGCCGAGCTCAGCTATGATACTCTCACTGATACTTTCCAAGCCAGGTATAATATATCTGATGTCCACATTTGACGCTAACAAATATTCTTGATTCTCATCAAAAGTTTACGTTTATTGGGGTTTTTAGGTATCCACCACATGGTAGACGAGCAGCTGCGGTTGAAAAGGGTGTGACATGGGATAGAATAAGAGCAGCTCCCATTGATGCATCGCCTCATCATCTCCATGTGTCAGATTCTTTAAAAGAGTTGAAACCTGGAGATCACATCGAGATCCAGTGGAGAAGGAACAAAGAGTTCCCATATGGTAAATAACAATATGTGATGCTTGTGGTTTGAGCTTGCAATCTGATTCTGAAACAAGCTCGTGTGATGCTATTGTGTAGGATGGTGGTATGGTGTTGTTGGCCACTTGGAATCTTGTGATGGAGATCTCAACCATTGCCATTGCCAACTTAGCGGTGAGTTATCAGCTTCATCTTCCGTGGCTAAAAAATGGAGTCTTGGTTGGTTGTTTTAAAAATTGGATGTCATATTCTATGCATTACTCATTGTCTCAGCTCATAAAGTCCATTAAATTCCCAAAACTTAGTTGAAAAGGGTGAACATTGAAGAGAGCCAATTCAAGCAATGCCTTTTCTTGTTAAGATTGGTCCCAAAACGACAAATGATGATGATAATGTGATATGTCTTGATTTTCCTTGACATTTTGATAAATGTGTGTCTTCAGTTGATGTTGAAACCTCAACTTATGTCCTCATCGTTGGAATCTACATTACTAATGGTGGTGGGGCTCAACAATGATTCTTTGTCTCTTTATCACTCCAAAAAATCTCTTATTTGTTTTCCTTTTGCTGGCTCATTGCATGACCACATAAAGTAGAAATCAGTTAGAAATAGATAATTTTTGGGATTTCTCTTTGCCCACTTGCATCTTGATTGAACCTAACTCCTCTGATTCTTTTTCTATTGATATTGTGTCAAAAGAGTTTCTGCATTCACATGTTGTACTGAATGGTTAAGTGTTGATGAATGGTAAAAACAGAGACGGTAGTGTTGGAATTCAACCAGTACACAGTCGGATCGAGGTGGAGAAGAACGATGGTGATGAGAGATCATAAAGAGGAAGGTAATGAAGAAGACGGGTTCTATGGAGGAATCCGAAAGCTAAATTGTAAAGAAGAGGTTGCAATGTGGAAGCGTCACTGGCCTTGCTCCATCTTGGAATAGCATGAGGAAGCTTTGCTTAAACACTTGGGGAAATATGTTACACATCACTGTACGGAGAGTAGGATGTTGAATTTAGACGTCTATTCTCTTTTATCCAATGTATGGTTGATCGTGAATTATTTGTTTGGAATATAGTCAAAATACGTGAAACTATTGTGTCACTTCGATTTGAGAAATATTGTGGTGTATAGGGAAAATATAATACAATTGATTTGAATTATCATAAAAGAGCATTTTGGTTTTGATCTGGTTTCTGCTTGCTATGTCAAGCTCTCTACCAGAGTTCCAGGTTTCTGCAAAATCTTCTGATCTTCTCTGAAATTTTACATGGCACCTCTGTCAAAGTACTGCTCTTGCTGTAAGATTGAATCTTCTGTTGTTTGGGACCCGTATGGTTCTGGTTCATGCAGGGAGTAGTAAAGATTCAGTGTGTTGAGTCTGTTTTTTGCAGGAGGTTGTTTAGATGCAAAGCTTCATGTTCTTTAGTTTTAGATGAAGTTTGAAGAAGAGAATAAAGACTTTCTGATGTTAGTGTTGTGAAGTTGTGGTTCTTAGTTGGTTTAGCTACTAGGACTTTTAGAAAAGCAACCTGAAGTTGAGAGAGCATCGAAAATCAAGGTCTAAGTGACACTTCTCTAACCATAGCAGAGGGTTTATTAGGGGTATCCCTTTGAGTTAGCCAATTCCAGTTGTGGTATTCACAGGTTCTCAGAGGTGTTTGTTTCTCTACTGGTTTGCCATTGAATAATCTCCAATACAATCACAATCAGTATCCATGGACAAAGTTCCATAGCTGCCCACTGTCTCTGTTCCTGGGAAGGATTGTATTTGAAAGACAGAATCCTAATCAGAAGAAGAGACAACAAGAAGCATACCATTGCAGCATTAGTTGCTCCACTCTCAATAAACCCAAAATTTCCTTACTTACACAGTTACACTAAAGATCCTCATCTTCTTCAAAAGAAAGATTCTTGCAGTCATATTTTCCTTGAAACAAACTAGCAACTACATCTAACTTAATCGAATTAGCTAGAAGACTAGGACGATCCTCCTAATAGTCAATAGACATAAATATGTCTCTACACGGCTTCTACTATATTCAACGGAGTAAGAAAATTGGTGTATGTGAAGTCAAAAAACATCACCCAGTAAAAATTAGTCAATGTTAACTCAAATCTCAAGTTACACTTTTTTTTATGGTCCCTTACCTAAATATAGAAACCTGTTTTAATTTTCAGTTGAATCACCACCGACACCATTATTTTCAGTGCAAGAGTCCATCAGAGAGAGACTCAAATCCAATTCTCCTTACTTCAACAGCTCAAATTTGGAATCTTTTCTAAAAACCCAGATCAACAGATCTCGAATGGCGAAGTACACGGCGGCGTTGAAGGTGGGACTGGCTTTACTGGCCCTGAGTATGGTGGGTTACATACTTGGTCCACCTCTCTACTGGCACCTCACGGAGGCCTTAGCCGTTTCAGCTACTTCTTGCTCTGCTTGCGTCTGTGATTGCTCTTCGTTGCCTCTTCTCACCATCCCAACTGGTAATCACTATTGCCCTTTATTGGATCTTGCTTGATCGGCTCTAAAGTTTACTGATTTTCCCTGAGAAATGAGATCAAATTTAGTACCTTTTTCATATTTGGTATTGTTACTAGTTGTTTCTATGCAGATAGATAGACTATTGTGCTAACGATGTTTTAGTTGTGTAGATCTACAAGAATTGTTTTGTTTCTCTGATTATTTGGTTTGATAAGTATAGTTTGGATCATCGAGATTTGAAATTTGCAGGCTAATGTTTTTGTTTAAACACCAAGTCTGAGTTTTTGAGATCTGATAGCAGTGGTTTAGCATCTGGTTTACTTGTTCTGGCGGTTGTGATTTCTAATAGCAGTGTATGTGTTGCGTTTATATGATTCACTACTCTTAATGAATTCATGGAGGTTGATAATGTTTTTCCGATGATACCAAAAATAAAGAGCCTAATCCTTTTTACTTGTTTTCATATTGCTGCAGGACTCAGCAATGGTTCATTCACTGGTGAGTTTCTCTGTCATTTGGATTCGTCAGTTGAAGAGTTCCGGTCACTTGCTGTTATCATCCTTACCGTTAGATGGTTTCTGTCAATTGTGGAAGAAAAATCGTAGCCAATTTTTTACTAAATGAGTCTACTAAGAACATCTCGTCTTTTGATGCTCAGATTGTGCAAAGCGTGATCCAGAGGTGAACGAAGACACAGAGAAGAACTACGCCGAACTTTTAACAGAGGAACTGAAGCAGCGTGAAGCAGCATCAATGGAGAAACACAAACGAGTAGACACAGGTTTGCTAGAGGCCAAGAAGATAACATCATCATACCAGAAGGAGGCAGATAAATGTAACTCGGGTATGGAGACTTGTGAAGAAGCAAGAGAGAAGGCAGAAAAAGCACTTGTAGAGCAGAAGAAGCTGACTTCTATGTGGGAACAGAGAGCTCGTCAGAAAGGATACAGAGATGGAGCCACCAAGTCAACTGTTAAATCCAAAAGCAGCGCTCAGGTTGCTTAAGTACACACTAAAGGTTTTGTTTTCTTATCACACGAAAGATAGTTTCATGTTAAGTGTAACTGTGAATTTGATTCATACTATTGTATTTTAGTTTTCTGATGGAGATAAATCAATCAGATGAAATGGAAACATTGTACCAAAACAACAAAGGATTAATGGATTTTGAACAAAGCTACAACACAATCAAGTCATTACATTAAACTACAACATACTTATTAGGCTTAGTGGTGAGCTCAAAGGAACTCTTGAAACACTTGGCTTCTCCTCTTGGTCTCTCTTCACTTTTCTTTCAGGCAAGGTGTATTGTTAGATCATCCAAGTTTTGAGAACCAACAAGGCTGAGATTGTGCTCGTTCGCCAAATGCAGCAAGCAGATGAAACATAGATGTGGTGAGATGTCTTGGGTTGCCCCGGCTGCTTGGCAATCATCTGGGAAGCTAGCCAATAGCTCTTTAAAAGATCTACTTTCAGGTGGTTCTTGTTGATGTTCCTCATCCTGCACAATCAGATTCTGTCAATATCAACACAGTAATGTGCAAAAAAGAAGGAAGAAGATGCCATCCTTGGGTTAGTTTCGGCATGGAACCATAAGAAAAAGGTGCACTGCACTAAACAGGTATACATGTGTGTGGAAGTCAGATTGTATGTTGACAAAACTTGGCTGATGTGAAGTACACGAATGTGTCACGGAAAACATGAGATTATCAGAGTATATTGGTTAACCTGAACTGGAGGTTGATGAGATTCCTGAAGACACTCCCAAAGAGTTTCCTTTAGCACTTGCACATCAACTTGTTTTGAAGCTTTATCGTATTGGACCTCAATTTTGTTAACCTAAAGCATGAGTTGTGTCGGACACTTAAAACAATGTTTAATTGCTAACCATAGATAGCTACAGCCTTTTGATATGATTTGTAACCCTATAACCATATACAGATCAATCTATTCATACCTGGCGTGGCTGAGAGATTAATGAGTTGGTATCCTCTGCATCACTTTGATCATTTCCATGATCAAATGGGCCATCATCATCATACACATTATCATTTCCCCAGGATTCTGCATGTTCATAATCATCATGCTGCTGTCTTGAAATTTCACCTGGAACATGCACATAACAAAACAAGTGTAAAACATAAGTATTTTCTTTCAGAATCCCAAATCAGATTTCAGCGGTAGTTTGTTGCCATTTTCTTTTTATTGGCAATTTAATATCGGTAAAGACAACAAAGATGTATAAACCACCAAGGACCCCACAAGCGATGATTATCTTAATGACTGGAAGTGTTACCTGAGATTTTTCTTCTCCTCCTCCCAAGGCACTGGTATCATTCAGAAGAGTAACTTCAGAAAAGATGACACAAAATGGAGAAAGAAAAGACAAAAAACACAAAAAAAAAAAAAAAAAAAAACAATAGCAAAATGGTGACTGGGTCTTTGTTTAGCAAGCCGTACCATCACATTCGGTAGCAGAAATAGCTTTATTAGATTCTCAGGTTGATAATGGCAATCCTCTGGGAGCTTCGTTTGACAAGGGGTTCTACTTGCTGGGAGAAGTAAAGACTTTGGGTTTTTTGGAGGGGCGAAAATATCAGGCATTTCTTCCTCCAAAGCTTTTGTAAAATCTATTTCAGGCTCTGATTGCTTCTTTTTCCTGGTTTTCTTCGCTGGTGGAGAGGATTTGTTTTCTGAAGCAGATTGAACATCTGGACCTGCAAAAAGAGTTCAGCGAATGTAAACCCTCAGAGAAACTAGATAACTAAGAAGGCTTATGTTATTTCTTGAAACTAGAGATATAAGCGCATACATTTTGTTTTTCGATACTTCCAGTGATCTGGACCTGCCCAAGAATTTTGCTTAGATGAAATTCCCAACGACAAAAAGAGATAGTCATCAACATTCTCAAGTCTGTCATCTGAATCCAGGTCTTGCAGTGAGGCTGGTTCAACTTCCTACAAAGTGAAAACATCAGGTTTTCAGTACCAAATAAAATTCATTGATAAAGACCATTAGAAGAGTGAAGGTTATAACCTCATGAAAATTTGAATATGTTGGTTCTGCATCATTGAGGCCAAAGTTTTCATCAACATCACCAGATTGACCCTCATAGTCAAAAGAAGTTCCAAAGTTCTCATATCCTCCATCATCGTCGGCATAGCTAGCATCATTAGCATGTGAAATATCAAATGACTCGGTCGTCTGCTGACCACAAGAAAACGTATCAGATGGTCTTTGGTTCTCTTCATCAAATTGATTGATTATAGCCCGAAGAGATGGTACAATATCATCCTTCTTTCGCATGTTTAGCACCATTTGCTCCACACAATCTACAAATTTAACCACAAAATCAGAGAAAGCATAATGCAATAAAACATGTACAATGGTAGAGCACGGCATATTAGCCAGTAAAGTGAGACCTTTAGCAAAGGATAGATCAATTGTTTCTGATTTGTCATGCTTATTTGCAGACGAAACAAGCTTTCCAGGGATTTCTTGTGAATCAAATAGAACTTGACACCATCCATAGACTCCTAAATTGTTTAGCAGCAGACCCTTTGCTCCACCTTCATCAAACTGTGCTGAAGTCTGATGATAAAGGGGATCCACTGCAAATGCCACTGGAAAGAAAAAAGACGAATCGTTGCCATACAGAACTTAATTTCACAAACGAACAAAGGGAGTCAAGTCAAGTTAAGCAATTACCATCAAACTTCTTCACGTTAAGGGCATCAAAGGATGGTTCCAGTGTTGATAAAGGCGATATCTGCAAGTTCGAAACTCATCAGTAAATAGTTTCATCTACTACATCCAGAATTGGGTTTTGTGAATGAACTACCTTTTTCTCTGTCTGTTTCTTTTGGTTAGTTGCATTTTCTACGGCACCAGCAGTATCCTCATTATCTAGGTTCATGAAAGAAATATCAGAAAAGAATATGAGAAAAAAAAAAACTTTACTTTAGTACCTACTTAGAAATTAGAGCTAAGGAAAGAAATTCAATGCATTGCATAGCCCTCTTCAGATGTCCCTTTTTCTAATCGATCTTTAGAGATTTTAGATTCTCATGTAGAAGTCAAACAATAAGAAAAGTAGTCATCTGTTTACCTCATGAATCTCAAGACTAGTTTGGCAAACCAGATTAACCCAAATCAGTGAATAAGTAGCTCCAGAAATTGATAAAGCTACATGTTGTCTAATGAAAGTTTACACTGACAAATTTATATAAGTAGTAGAGATAAGATAGTTTATTGTGTGTAAGATATCAATCTAACCTCCACTGTCATCATGGCCAGCTCGAGTAATTCCACCCAAGACCTTGTATGCCTCTGAATGAACTGAGTCTACCCGCATTGAGTAAATCTTCACTCCAGCTTCAAGAGTGCAACTTGCCTGCCTTGGACGAACACATATATGTCTTAAACATGATTCTGAAGTCTTTGTTTTTAATTTTGTGTATTCTCAAACGCTAAAAAATAATGAAATCGAAAGCTTACCTTTTGAAAATTTGTTTCTGCATTGTTCTCATCTTCAACTTTGATAATCTCACAAAGATGGTCGATCAAATTCAACTCCCAAGTGTTCTTTTGATTGATTTTCTGTTTAACACAGAACCCATAATTAAAAAACCTCCACAATTCCCACTCATATATGGATTCGCAGCATCAATTCCAGGGATACATAACAAAAAGCAGATCCCCAAAATCCGTTAGAATTTACGCAAATCTAAACAAAGATTATACTGACTAAAGGACTACTTGTTCCTCTAAAGCATAAATCTCATCAGAAGCATATTTAACCAAAACCAAGTTCAAAGACAAAAAAAAATAAACCTTTACCCACGAATTTTCCTTTTCCAGTTATAGTTATGGAAAAAAAGACAGAAGACAGTAGTTTCTTACGTTTTCACTGGCCAATTTGATACAGTTCTGAAACAACTCGAGAATTTGCTGTTTGTCGAAACACGGATCGAACTCCTTCTCAGGCTGAGCCCCACGAGCGAAAATGACAGACCTACGACGGCTAGCAGCGGCTCTGGCGGCGCGAGCTTGTTCCCGTTCCAATCTGTCATCGTTAGATCCCAAGAAGAAGGGACTCGTCGGAGCCTGGATTCGAGTCGTCGTTGAAGCTGGCCTTTGCTTAGGATTTGGAGTTAAGGATTCATCCATGACACTTCTCGGCTTGTATAAACTCGACGAGAGACGCTTGAAGGACGACGAAAATGCGTCCGTTGGGTTCACCGGAGCGTTGTGGATCGAGAATTCAAAGTAATTTGGGAATTAGGGATTTGATTTTAATTTTGATTTTCCCTCTTCTTTACTCTTTTGAATTTCAGTGACACTGTTGAGAATGTTTAAATACATAATTACCCCCATCCTATATTGTAAGTCACGTGGCATACTCCACGTCATCGCTGTGTTACGCCAGGAAACAATTAAATATAAAATATCCAAGGCCCGGTCTTAGGACTGGTAGATTCGGTTACGAGTTAACCGATATAACAAATGACAATTCTTTTTTTTTCTTCCGCCAACTCTAATTGTACTATTAACGGAAACCAATCCTGTCAAAAGGGTACATATGAGAAGCAGATAGAAGAAACTTATAGAAGGTATCTAGAGAGCTAATACACCTGTAGAGATCACAGCTTTGAGAATCCATGTCAAAACAGATTTGATATTTTTCAGTCAAAGAGCACATCTCGCTTAGTAAACCATGATCTGTGCTTTAAACTGCTTGGCTAGTTTCTCTTTCACATGTTAGGATGTCCGAAACCTCCAGTTGGTGGCATGGGCCTAAAACCATTGTTAGCCATTGGAGGTGGTGGCGGTGGTAGCAAACCAGATGGAGGAGGTGGTGGCGGTTGAGCTTGTGGCGGTGGTGGTGGTGGCGGTGGAAGACCATTTGCTCCAACAGCGGACTGAGGCTTGTTTGGTTCTGGTTTAGTAGGCTTGAAATACACCTGCAGCTGTTTTATTACATTCTTTTGTCAGTATGTTCATTTATCCAAACACAAACTTATTATCCAATCTCGGAAAAACAAACTAAGCTTATGGGATAATAATAAGAATTATGATGAGAAGCACTTACAGTAAACATCTTGGAGTCTGGATCCCAGTGAGAGAAAAATTTTGGCGTTGATTTATCAACCTCTGTGCTAGGAACCT